CCCCAAAACCCCAAAACCCCAAAACCCCATGCAGTAGTAGTAATTTATGAAATTAAGAAATACAAATATTTCTCATTTTGATCAAATAAATATAATGTTTTTTCAAACTAACTGAAACTGGTATTTCAAGAGTAAACTCTTCTAGACCATATAATCTTTTTTATCTAATCATAGTGCCTACCTGGCTATTAATTATGCTGAAAATGCATGCCTCCAGGAGTCTTAGAACTGACATACTAGATATTTTTCATATTTTTATGATCTGCTCCATTTAAGGAATAATTTTGACTGTAGAAATTATTATTTTAACTTCGATCTCTAGCTAGCCCTGTATTCTGATTGGACTCGCTTATAATCTAAGTGCGATTTAACTTCTCTACCTTGTCAAGAGTAATATTATGATTAATTTTCATCCATGCCTGAATATTAGAATTAAGATTCCTAGACATGATGGCATCAGGCTCCTTGAACTGGATAATATTGCCAAAGAGTACTGTAGCTGATTTCTCATTCTAAGTTTACAGATTCTATTTGGTAAGCTCATCACTTGATAATTCTTACTATATAAATCGTCCTAGCTGTTTTTACTTTCTATCTGACCCTTTTGCTTTCTTTAAAGTCCTTAATCCCTTTGCTGCAATGCTATGTGATCCTACTCTTGGCCTTCCGTTAGACGTCTTTAGATTAAAGTTTAGCATCATGTTATTATGCTGAGAGTGAATGATCTTTGGTGGAATCCTATTTTTCTTCAGGCTCAAGCTTCGATTATTGCTACTATGTCTCCCTTCCTGGACTCCTTCATTTTAATTCGAATTACAGTCCTCATTTCTTGCTTTTACACTTGATATAACTATCTGCTTGGGATGATCAGGAGAATCTTGATGATCTCCATCTATATCTATCTGCATAGGAGCTAGTCTCTCCTTAGACCCCTAGTTATCATCTAGAGTGTTGATACTTACAGATCTGAGTTTGCCAATATTAAAGCCAGATCTATTTTGTATCAAATTATCAGACGAATTTCTACTAATAGGTTGATGCTTATTTTACATGATAATTTCTCTTTTACTCACTACTTGCCTTGGGTTAGTGTCTATAGGATTCGGCTTAAGATTAGAAATGGAATTAGTAACCTACTAAGTCTAACTTATTAATTCATCCTCATTTATCAAATCATTAGTTCCACAGCCAGCCGCTTTTCTTGCTGGACTTTCACCGAGAGCTCTAAGTTTATCATTGAATGCTGCTTGCTCATGGATGATATCAACGAAGTTTTTAATGTTTATTTTCTTCCCACAAAGGATATCTGGCTCTTTCTTCTTAGGATTTGGCTGTTTAAGTTTGTTCATTTTTTATTGATAGCTACTCAAAGGTCTTTTAGTATTATTCTTTCGTAGTAAGGTTGATGGGAGGATGAATTAGCATATTGATAGAGGATCCTAATTTTGATTCATCATCTAGCTATTATAATCGCTAACGTTCATTAGAAACTAATTACTTTAAGTACCTTTGTTGCCATCAGCGGAAGAGGTAGATAACACCTTAGCAGATGATATTTAATTCAGAGTTTGATTCATGTAATATTGCTGATTACCAACTCTTTTTGACTAAGACGACTTAGGCAAATTGCCAAAACTGCTTTCATTGTAATCATCTCTTATATTATTATCTTATGCTAAATTAGCTCTATTTCCTTCTTCTTATGATCGCAATATATTCTATATATTTCTAGTTGCGCCAACTGTTTAGGGCGTCTATGTCTTAAGATTTGTTGATAAGTCTTGATAGTAATTATCAAAGAACTGCTTCTTCTCCTAGAGTATCTATCTAAATGCATCAAATCTATTTATGATCTTAGGCTTTACTTCCTTGTTATGATGTCTTTATATGGCTTAATTTTTAATTGAAGAAGGGCTCATTTGTTTGATGATAACTGGCTGATGTTGCAAAGGTTAATTATAGATATTTTAAGCACTGGAGTAGGTGTAATTAAGAGTTTGATTCTGATATTCTTGCATCTTCAACTTTATGTCAATATCCATCAGAGGACGCCATAGCTGTTTTGTGGAGTCCAAAGATAAATCTTGGGTATGCATTTTTATTGAATTATTTCAATGCTTTATCAGAGTTCTATTCCTTGAGTTAAGTCCAGAATAAGACTTGTCCAGCTTAGATTCTATTGGTGACGAGTCTTGTCTGATGTTCATATTAGACTTTTTGTTGAGTTTTGAAGAAGGTCAGCAGTCTAGCTTATATATGTCACTCGGTGCATCTGTGAGTAAAAGATGCGTGGATGGTTAATCAAGACTGAAATTATTGTCAAGTAGCAATTGTATATCTGAGTTCTTAGACAGCGACTGCTTTTTCTAAGCGAATGAATTTTGCTTATTATGCGTACCACTCTAGAACTGAGATTAATACTAGTTTTAGTGTTATTGTAATTGCTGCATCGCAGATTTGAGTCGCTTTGATTTTACAGGAGATTTTTTCATTTTAACGTTACCAAATAATTAAATTGATTGGATATGCAGTTTTTCAGATTTTTAATACATTCACTCTGATTATTGATTTTACAATTTGTTATTGATGAGTTATTGTGATTGCCGGGGTTTTGGGGTTTTGGGG